AGAGCACGGGGGAAGAAGGACGCGGGAAATAAGGAGGAGGAAGCTTTGCATGCGGGGCGCCGACAACAGGAGAAAAGACACCAAAATAGTTACAGCTTGCCTATGTCCTACACGAATTCAAAAATTGAAATCGCCATATTCGCGCGGGAAAGTCGACGCGGGAAAATAAATTCTTATGCCTGTTTGTATTCTCACAAAATTCCTAAAGTTTCCCCCGATGTGACCGAGAACATTCATGCAAGGAAAAAGATACGTCGGGCTCCGCTTATTCCGTAATTCCTAACTGTCGAGCCCGATACCTAGTGCGCTCGCTAAGGCGCGCGTAATTTCTCATGCATTTCCCAACTTACAAAAAGCAGAACTCCAAGAATCGATAGAACTTTCGAAAATGGGGGCCCAAACAATGCGCCTGAAATCAAGAAAGGCGACCGGGGTTTTGTGGGGTCGGTATGATACAAACAGGGGGTATTGAGTCAAAGGGAACGAAAGATAGCACGGGGTCGGGAAGTGGTTCGTCACATATGTGACGCGCAGGGGGTTCCAAAATTATGCGATCTCCCGATTGCATGAAAACTCGAACAAAGGGAATAGGAGGAGACGAAGAAGCAGGAAGAAGTACAAGGAATGAGGGGAGGAGACGAAGAAGCAGGAAGAAGTAGGAGCAGGATGAGTTGGCGACAACGTCCGTGGCAAGATCTCCGTGAAGCATGCCGGCTCGTGCTGTTTCGGATCCTGTTCCCTGCAGTCCTATCATATGCAACCCCCTGTCCTTCGAACTTCGGAGATCGTCCAGGTGGCACCATCATGGCCATCAGATCTCCGTGTGCTCTGCACCCCCAGTCCAGCGCAATCCATCGAATCAGAGCATGAGTTGACGTCATCGTCAATAGCGTGATCTTCGCAAAATTGCTGATTCATACTGCTCGGAGGACGCGTGGCGGATATGAACGCCGTGTGGGAATGGGAAAGTAGACATTATACATGGGAGGGTGTCGACGGGGAGGGTTGGGGGGGAGTGGGGGCAAGTAACGGTTCATCCCTTCCTCTGTGATCGGGAGCTCTTCATAGCGGATAATCCGGTGAAAACGGGGAAACCGATCACCGCTGCAAGGGAGGGAGGTGAGGTAGTCAGGGTAAAGGGTGGAGAAAGTGCGGAAGAGTGCCGTGCGAAACACCTCGTGATGGCGACACGCGGGGATGGTTTCTGTGATTACGCAGTAGACTTCTACTGCGTTACTCTGTTCCCACGCGACACTGAACAACAGGATGTGTAAACAAAACGTGGGGTTTGCGGATTGAAGGGAAGGGTGGGGATGGACGGTGACAGCGAGACGGGTGGAGTAAAAGTGACGGAAGGTATGGGGAGGAAAGGGGTTGCGAGGGAAGGTGACGGGGGTAGAGATCTGGCAGAGGGTGAGGTAATCAAGGGGATGGCGGGATAATGACCGGGGACGAAGGCCGATTCCCCGCATCGGTACGTGGACGAACTGGGGGACGGGCTGGGGTGGAGGGGGAGGGGGATTGGCTCCTTCTCCACCGCGATGCGCTCGAAGCCGCGGTGGCTGATCCGCCATCTTCGGGCTCGGGGGGCTCTGGATCCCTGGTTGGGTCGTTGTTGATGCGCAGGCTCGCCCCGCTGGCGAACTCCAACTGGCTTTTCCCGGCGGCGATCTCTTCTCTTCTACGTACCGCTTCGGGATCTTCCACCTCCGTGGCTGTGCGCGCCGCTTCTTCCGGCAAGTCCTCCCACTCCGATCCGACTTCCTCCTCTTCTTCTTCTATCTCCTCCTCTTCTTCACTCGACTCCCCTTCACTGTACTCACTATAACTTCCCTCCTCCGACGTTTCTTCATCGGCGTCACCCTCTTCTTCAGTGGCTTCTTCTTCCCCTTCAAGCGCCTCCTCAGTTTCTTCCTTCGGATAGAAGGCGCGATCGATGATCCCGTAGGGCTTCAAGTACTCCTGCCGCGATGGCAGAGTGCTGTCACTCCCGGGTTCTTCCAAGCATGCAGTCCACTGAAGATACGACGCTCATGTTCGTGTGATGACGTGCGGAGCGGGGCTGTCGTCGCTTTGCGAAACGATGCCGAGGGAGAGATCGTCAGCTAGTTGCACGAGTGGGACGGCGAGTTATTGAGTAATTGGCTGGCGATTGCCTGGCCGCACCAATCCGAAGAGGAAGCCGAGGAGATCGCCTTCCACGTGAGTTCTCCAAGCCTGAATGATCAACAACTCCAGGTACTCGATGCACGTAGGATGCTTGCTGGTCCGCGTCCACGTCACCTGCACTCGGGCCAAGCACACAGATAGATCGACAAAGGTCCCGCGCCACACCTGCCAATGGCCGGGATCAAGGAGCGGGACGGCAAGAGGCTCGAGCAGGAAAGAAAGGCGAGGGTGGAGATCGGATTGCCAGAAAGTGGGGAAAAGAGAGGGGAGAACGAAGGTGGAGAGGGGAGCGAGGGGGGCGGCGCGGTTCATTGGGGGCGTTGGAAGGGGATGAGGGTGGGGAGCGCGACTGCCGGTTGGCGCGGAGAGGTGCGAATTCCGTCGAAGTCAATCCCGGACGTCGGGACCAGATTGTTCCCCGGAGGCACAAGACCGTGATGCCACTCAGCTGACAACTGATGCGTCCACTCCCGTAAAGAGGTCAAGATTGCGGTATGCCGAAGTGCACTGACCGTGCTGATGTCACCGCTGAAGGCAGCGACCGTGGTGACGTGGCTCGTCCTTGGAGCCGCTCATCGGTGAAGTGTCACCACCTCCGCCAATACTACTGCCTATGGGCTCTCGACAAATCGGAACACAGCAGCGGCACACATTCCCTCGGTGCAGAAGAACTGCGCCACTCTTCGAAGATCAGGACTGAGTCGCGGATGACGAACTTGCCGGATCTCCGAGATGTAGCCACGTGGATGTAGCAGATGATCGCCAAGGGCTTGCTCCGTGATGAAACTCATGGCGAGGACGAGGGAGAAAATGAGAGATGGGAGTAGGAGGGTGCTGACGAGGCGAGAGCTAGATCGTCGTCGTTCTCTTCTTCAGCAGATGAGGGAGACAGAGGGAGATCAGAGGGAGGGAGGGGACGGATGTAAGAGGTATGTCGGACGATGGGGAAAGAGTTATGGTTGGCGTTGGCTTCAGGTGCGATGCGCACCGTGTTAGCGTCGTTGGGTCCGAGCTCGACAACGCGAAAACAGCCAGAGAACTTGGGACCGAGTTTCCGGTCGCGTGCACATTTACGTACCTGTACCAGGTCCCCTAATTTATATTGATGTTGGGGACCAACGTTTCCATTTCGGGCCTCGTAGCTACGGACTTGCCTTCTGTGGGCTAGATCGGTCATTTTTTGTCTCTTTCGGGCTAGCTTCGGAACGACCCTTTCCATTAAATCGGCGTACCTTTTGGCCTTGGCCTTAAGGGCAGCACCCGTGTCTCTACCCCCTGCTTCGACAATTTCCTAAGTGCCCCGATAATCGACGCATGGGAGGCTATTGGTCCGGAGTTGGAAGGGGGTGAATCCCGTGGATTCATGAGGGGTGGCCCGGTGAATTCCGACGATTTGATATACGATCTCGGGCCAAGGACGCGTGTCACGCGCCGCTAAATTTCTACGAAGGGCAGTCTTAATCATGCGATTGGCATTTTTGGCCAACTCGTTCGACTGGGAAACGTGGGGTGTCGTGTGTCGAAGCGTAATGCCTCGTCGTGCAAGTAATTCCTCCACCTCGCCTTTGAATTCGGACCCATTATCGGTTAGAATTTCTTCCGTATCTAGGTGAGTATAGAGAAACCGATCGATGTACGTGGCTATCTCTGCGGCCTTACGGGTCTTGCAGGGGTATACCTCGATGTATTTAGAAAAATGGTGTATTAAAACTAAAAGGATGGAATATTCGCAACGGTTTGGGCCAGGTGGCACGACGATATCTGTTGTGTCCATACTGACTCGCTGAAAAAGGGCGCTCTACTTCTGTTGGTACTATCGTGTTTGGTTCCCGTATTGGGGCACGATCGGCGACACAGACCAGGCAGTTAGCGACTACGTATCTGACATCGTCCCGTATATTAGACCAGAACCATCGATTCTGATTTATAGTTGCCTCTGTGATACGTATCGCGAAGTGAGTGGCTTGCTCTTCGTGAGCAGATCGGGTCCAATCATATCTCTGGAATGGATGGGGAACCGTCAACCACAAACCCGATCCGTGAGTTTTACGCTTTTCGAGGTGACCGTTGATCCATCGATAATCCCGAGATCTCTCAGTAGCCCGACGCCTGTCGTGCTTAGTGAGATGATCCAATGGTAAACCAGCCAACTTAGCTAATAGGATTTTATCCGTCCAGACCTCCGCTCGTCGGTATTTCTCGTCGTATTCAGGGTTGTCCGTACGGGCAACCTCGAGTCAAACCTCAGTAGGCAGTTTGTCCGTTCTACATAGAGGGCATTTTCATTCCCTGCTATTTGCTCGATATCGAACGCATGCACCGTGGGCACGATTGACACACGTGGCACAGTTCACCCACTCAACGAATCTGGTCTCAAAAGGATGACAATTCACGCATATACCCGTGTAATACACGTGCAAAAATAACAAAATTTATCGGGAAGGGTGGCGAAGAAGGCCGATGAGGCGAGAGGGTCGGAATCAGCAGGGGAAGAAGGGGTCGCGGGGACAGGTGGGGTAGTCATGATGAGAGGGGATGAGAGAAAGGGAGAGAAAGAGAGAGAGAGCAGGGCCGCAAGGAGAGCGGAGCGAATCTCTGTGTCACTCACTCCTTCGACAAAATTTCCACTTGTTCGTACCGTGGTCGACTCTCCTCCTTCGGCTCGTTCCACGGAATCACTTCCTCGCTCTTGAGGACCTTCTCGGATTGGTGCAGTCGTATCAACCCGTCAGCATTCTCGTGCTTCCTGTGCTTCCGATGACGAATGTCAAAATCCATGCTCTTTAACACCGTTGCCCACCTTCCGATCATGCCCGAGTAATCCTTAGATTTCTTCAGGGCTAATAACGGCTCATGATCGGTGACTAGCGTGAACTTCCGCCCATACAAATAGGCTCGAAAGTGACTGATTCCCCACAGAGCCGCATAGCATTCTCCTGTCGGGACGGCGCAATTGCGCTTGCAAGCAGGCACGGACTTAGACGCGTATTCCACCACGCATTCGAGTCCGCCTGGTCCCACCTGGGCCAAAATCGCTGAGATTGCCTCCGGCTGCCAGTCCGTGATGAGGACAAAAGGTTTTTCAGGATCCCGTCTTATAAGGACCGGAGGGTCTTATAAGGACCGGAGCCGAAATAAGGGTTGCCTTGAGCTTCGAAAACGCTTGATCACATTCTGGCGTCCAGATCAACGGTTGATCCTTTTTCAGCAGATTCGTGAGGGGACCCGCAATAGCCGCGAAGCCCTTGATAAACCTTCAATAGTACGAGGCCAGACCCAGAAAGGCGCGAACTTGTGTGATAGTCGTGGGCACAGGCACGTCTCTCACTGCTGCCACCTTTTGCGGTTCCGGTCTGAGCCCCTGGTCTGTCACCACGTGTCCCAGGAAGGAAATGGTGGTGAGAAAGAACTGACATTTCTCAAGCGCCACCTTGAAACCGGCATCTCTTAATGCATGCATCGTCCATTCGATGTGCTGCACATGCCCTTCATAGGAACTTGAATACACTAGAATATCATCCATGTACACAATCACACAATAATTGATGATGCTTTGGGCCAGTCGTGTCTTCCGCACAAAGTTATGGAAGGCCATATTCATGGCTCGCTGGAACTATGCTGAAGCATTGCAGATGCCCATTGGATATCGAACCCATTGCCAAGTACCTTCGAACCACACAAACGCTGTTTTCGGACGATCCTCCTCTCGAACAAGAAGATGATGAAACCTGTGTCGAACATCAAACTTACTGAAAAATCGAGCACTCCCAATCGCATCCAACAACTCATCAATCCGAGGAAGGGGATACACATCTTTGATCGTGATATCATTCAGCTTTCGATAATCGATGCATATGCGAATCCCTCCGGTCTTCTTGGGCACTATTACCACAGGAAACCACCACGGTCCTATAGCGGGTTCGATCCATCCATTAGCTTCGAATTCCTTGATCCGCTGAAACGCGGCCGCCCGCTGGGCTGGCGAGTATCGGTAAGGAACGCATCTAATGGGTGGATGATCCCCCGTAAGAATAGCATGCTCAATCACGTTGGACAGTCCGATATCGTTATCGCGCACACTTAATACCTCCATGTACCCATTTAAGACATCAATCAGTGATTTTCAAAATTCCAGGGGGACGTGATTGGGCAGAGTGACAGTCGGTCGATCGGGTATCTCAAGAGGCATATCGATCCAATCAATAGGCGGATCCCGTCGGTCATGGACGCTAGAGAAAATAGAGCTGCTAGTGCAGACAGAAAATACAGTCGCGATCATCTGGGATTCAGCGGGGCTAATCATCTCGGTTTCTTTAACTTCGGTGCCAGTCTCCGAATCAGTCGTGGTTTCCTTCACGGTTAGTCCTGTTAAATCCGCCATTTCTTGCATCAGATCGGGCACATCGTCGACAGGGGCTTCGGCTTCTTGTTTAAGTAGAGCGACAGTCGTTCCTGTCATAAGCAGTGACCTTGGAGAGGAAACAAACACATCCAGGTATGGTTTTGCCTGCTGATAGCGTGCTCGAAGGGAAAGTGTTCCCTCGTACAAAGTGCGAGGGGGTTCCAGATCATCTGCCAGGTCAGATATTTGTAAGATGGGTTCTCCGAGAAAGGTCGAAGGACTGATCTGAGTCTCCGAAGGTGCGAGCGCGTTGTCTTCCAGACTCGAGTGGAAGGTTCGGGCGGCTCTGGGAACCATCCGAAATTCCTCGAGGGCTTCGTGCTCGAAAATCTCGACCAGGTGTTTCCATTCACTCTCACTAGGCATCTCTTCTTCTCACTCTTGTTCTTCGGATCCGCGACTATTTCCCGGGGATGAAAATTCCTCGTGATCGCAACCTTGAATCATCCCTATCCAAGCAGGATTATGATTCCTTGTTACTGTTCGGGTTGAAATTCGCAACGGGACTATCTGAGGCTTTCCTCCTGTTTGTGTGAGCACCAACTGTTTGGAATCGAAATGCATGTGGGCGCCTACCGCCATTGCCCAAGGCAGTCCTAACAATACCGAATATGAGTGCACATCTATGACTAAAGCGTTAACGATGATGTGCACTCGTCCAACTTTCACGGCCACATTCTCGATGACTCCTACAATATTCATTGCTTCCTCATTGGCAGAGACGTAATGGTCTTTGCCAGATTGAGGGAGAATCGAATTGAGTCGTCCCGTTCTCTTTACCGTATCTAATGATATAGCGACCGCTGACGAGCCGATATCGATGAGAGCGTTAAAAAGTTTGCCCTATACTTCACAATCACATTCCGCGCTTTTCCACAATATTGGTCGAGCTCCCACAAAACGATCTTTCTCTACTAAAAAGATATTAGCTACTCGCGCGGCTTCGGGTTCAACGACTTCGGGTTCAAGCGGGGCAACATCCTCCGCTCCGTCTTCCTTCTTCTTTTTCAACATTCGTTGTATGCGCTGGTATGTAAAGCTCTTTTGATTCTTCTGACATTGTTGCAGCAGTTTGTCATTTGCTGCTTCGAATATGGTGAGCAAATATCCCACTGGGACCGGAATGCGAATGTCCAGTTGCTTAAGCGTCCGTAGTACATCTATTTCTCCCGTTCGAAACTGTGGTTCAGGGTTGGATTCACGTTCGACCCATTCAAGATCGTCATGGGCTGGTCGGATTGCTCTGATACCAACCTCACGCCTTGTGCTGTCTCTCGTTCGAAGTGCTAAAAGTGCGGAAAGAAGGCCCAGAAAAACAGCAAGATGGGGTGTGCCAAGGATTTTTGAAAAATTGAGTGTGGGGACACAGATAGCACTAAAATCCCCCATGTTGGCCCGATGAAGTAAGTCGGTTGCTTTCGCGCGTCGCACAATGCGCGCGCCAGCACGGCGCGAAAAGAGAAAAATCCAACTTTAATCCAAAAAGTATTGTCGAGCTTCCCACCGTGCTACGGATCGTCATTTAGAGCGGAAGGGTTTCGGTACACTCCGCGTATCCCGTTTTCGTATCAAGTCCCGACGTCGCTCGCTGGTCAATTCCTAGTCTGACGTGGATGGTCTCAGCCGCGTGGCTCTTTCCTTGTGCTCGTCTTCACTCCGTATCCRGTAGTGGAAGCCCTTCGATTCGTAGCGATCGAAATGCTGGCACTCAGTGCACAGGGTTCGGGGCTAATGGGACGCCACTGCCGTCCACGGAATGACGATCAACTTGCTAAATGGCAACAGTACTGAGTAGGGTGGGAAGTGCGTATCGATAATGACAAAGYCCGCATCCACGARCCCAGAACAACGATTTTCAGGAGGGAAATAAYATTRTYCGCCGATCCGTGCAACAACTTCTYGTACGTCCCACTCACATACACGTGTCCTTTCCTCGTTGTAGGGGAAGGGGCGCGTCGGCGAGGGAGATACGGAAGGCTGGCGCCCGACCGAGAAACGACCGTTAGTCCACATATCAATCAATCAAACGGAGTTTACACGTCATCAACAAACACGATCGAAAAAGAACTAATTAGTATCTTCCTTCCTTGGAACCCGCACAATCATGCATTAATTGGGTTTGAGTTCCGAGGGACAAACCCGCGACTCTGTTTCAGTAGACCAGATTAACAAAAACACGAAGCTGCCCCACAGACTGCCTGTTGATGTCGTGCAGCATAAGGCAGATGGCATGTGCAGTTCATTCAGAACTACAGATCTTAACACTCTTGCATTGTCGAACAAAATCTCGTCGGGTGCAATCGCAGAAATACAAGCATTTCTATACATACATCCACTGTGGAAGGTGCGAAAATGGTAAGGGAGCACAAGTCAGAAATCAATTAAGGGATTGTACACACGCATCCACCGTTCACAAGACAAGAAAATTGAGTTCCTGGCATYTGGGGATTACYCGGGAAACTAATGGAAGAGTTCCGGAAGMAGTTCTTCTTCGCAGGAGATCACGAGGGTTCACTTCGGGTTACAAGAGAGACAAACCCATAACACATCGTTATACAAGTCGGAGAGAGAGAGAGAGAGAGATGGAAGGGATAGACGAGAAAAAGTCGAGACTGACGACACCAAAATTCAACAAGGGAGCATTCGGCTTCACAGCCATGAACTCACACCAGAAAAATGATCCGCAATCATGAAGGCGCATTCGCCGTAAAATTCCAATATGGCCCCAGGCCAATCATCCACTCAACTCCAATTACAAATCCTCATACCCGCACTGACGATCCCGACCGTCACGTGCTAACTTTCGCCACTGCGATCGTCACCCCGCTGACGCAGACTCGACTCGGCTCGCCCGGATCCCACAGTCCGTCGTGGCGATCAGGCGCGCAGCCGGCCAGACTATAGTCAGCCTGACAGGACTTTTCGACTCGCATTAAATGCCTCACCTAGCCACTGCTTCCCGGAAGCTGGCTTGCGAGTGGAAAACGTAAGAGAGATTTTGCGGGCGCGCTTGCGGAATTTATAGTTGTGGGAAAGGAGATAGATGGGGGAGGAGTCAGAGGGGAGATCGAGGTGCAAGGAGAGAAGGTTCCGCGAAAGGTGCTCAAGGGAAGCCATGTTGATCCTTCAGAACTTGATGTTCGGCCAATCAGATTCGTCGCGCAATAGGAAGGTCTTCTTGCTCAACGCGTCTGATTGGTGATCAGGGATAATTGGAGGATCAACCGGGCTTCGTGAGCCAAGGGTGAAGAGCGAGGAGGGGCGAGGCGCGAAAAGCAGTGCGAGACGGGTCCAAGATTCAGATGATCAAGAAAGGGAAACAAGCGCGCAAAAAGCAGAGAGAGAGAGAGAAAACAGTTGCGATATGGGAAGAAGAGGAGAAGGGGGGGGGGGGAAAGGGAGAGAGAATAGAGCACGGGGGAAGAAGGACGCGGG